TTTTTTAAAATTTATATTCTTTTCGTAATTTATATATAAGTATTTTATAGTAAAACGTTTGAAAATTGAGTAATTAAATCGAGCATAAATTTTAATTATCTGATTCTTGTACGCGGTTGAACGTTCTATCGATCAAAGTTCTCGATGTTGAATGAAATACGTTATTATTTTTGTTCGTCTACTTTGATAATTAATGGATACATTAATTATATAGAAAGCTTCACATCAGCTGATTAATTTTCACGTTACTTGATATCGCATCCTATTAATTGTTGTCATGTTATCCAATCGCGGGTCCAAAGAAATGTTATAATAACATTTTCATTTTCGTCGTTGCAACTGACGACGAGAAAGCGATATTGAATTTTCATAAGGACGTAATTTTATATTAATTCGAAATTAAAATTTGTCATTATATTGAAATATAAATGATGTAATTGCCATCAGGATATCGCGATATAATAATTTATAATTATTTCATATAACAATTAAATATTACCAAAGAGGCAAATTGGCATCATGATTTACATAACTTCTTATGCGATTAATTAAATTTTCACGTCAGATTAAACATCACGTGTTGATTACTAATCTCTCGTTTTGGGTAACGTTTAATCGGCACAGAGATCATTTCGCGTTTCTGTATCGTACGATTCTTCTTAAAATCATATTACCTTTGGAGAAAGCTTGCGCGTGAAAGCTCATTTATTTACGTCAAAAGTGTTAGATATTACGGTAATGCAATACTCTCTCTTTCTCTTTCTTCGTCTTCCACATTGTTTCCCATCATATCCGACATACGAGTGAACGAACAACTCGTCGAATGAATCAGCATCTTATGCTGCGTTAATACAATTCGAAATTAATGTTGCACTTCCGACGCATCACTTGCGTTATACTTATTCTTAGTAAATATACCAAAGCACAAGCATTGTTTCTTCCAGCGAAGAAAGTTTGATGAAAGTTTTCTCTAAGTACTTGCATCTATTCTTCTAACGTCTTACGAATATAGCGATCAAACATTAATAATTTCTTGTTAACACGTTGCATCTAGAAGAGATGAGAAAACGAATATCGTGGGGGCAGGGGGTGAAACAGGAGTGGTTGGGAGGGTTCAAATAAAGTAAGAGAAAACGAGAATGGGGATGACACCGATTTCTATCCCCGACACTTGTAATTTTAGCGATCAATCTCAACGTGGAATCCTCCGCGGATCAGTGTTGTTCGAAATCATGGTCAAATGCGTGTAGCTCACTGTAAAAGGGCTTTTCCACGATATCGTTCGTGGCCCACCGCCACGAGTGATAACGACGGTCGTTAAATCGTTACGGTGACCGATGGCGTATCGATTACTAACATGGCTGGAGTGGTCAGATACTAAAATCCCGTAGTAAAAACCACCACCACTGAGTTTTGCGGTGATCGTTGCCGGATTGCCGATTTACTTGGCCGATCGACTTTCGCTTCGGTAATTCTTCGTTTACTCACCTCTCGACTAATAAACTACCCCTATTTCACTACGGATTCACTGTGCCGAGTAATTGTTTGAGCTACGCAAACGTCGAGATTAAACCAAAATATGATCTAGTGGGAAGGGGAGAGGAAGGAGTTGGTTATGTCTATTGTTATATAGGGAAAAAGTAATAATAGTTGTAGAACGAACGTGTGGCCAAAAAAAAAAAATAAAGAAGACAAATTTGCTCGCGTTAGACAAAAGCTCGTCCTTTTGAAATATTTCTCTGCACTCGCATTCGTAGATAGGTGTAGATATGCATGTTCACATACGATACATATATTCGTTTATACGAAAAGTATCTGTTTTACTGGATTAATGTGATAAATCAAACAATTGAGAGAGAGAAAGAAAGAGAGAAAAAGATAAATAGAAAATATGGTAGATGCATAAATTTTATGGACGAAATATTTTACGTGCTATTAATCGTTGCCCGTGATTTTATTTATGAAGTTATTTTACGACAAAATAAGACGATTGTCGATGTGTAGAAAGTTCGATTATGAATTTACGGTGATTGATGATGCATCATCGTGGAAATGGTAGAAAAAAGAATGATCGACCAACTGGCTTTTTTTCTATACCAAAGCGTGAAATGCAGAAAAAAAAGTCACGATAAATGTGGCAAGAACAAATCTCTCTTAAGCCGCTTTCTGTCGTCAAACAGGGTTCCTTCACCACCACATCCGCCCCTTCCTCTCTCGGTCGTTATATTTACATTGGTTGATCAGTAATCCTTTCCTCGTTCTTTTCCTTACGCGCGATACATAGTAATAAGAATGTAGCATGAGAGAAGGCTCGACGGGAAAAGGGACAATTAACTTTATCTATGTTCTCTTTCTGTTAGTTACTTTTTTTTCTTTTTTTTTTCTTGTCGCAATCGAAGAGAGGAACCGTTTTATCTCGCCTTTTCATCGTCTACGATAAATCGTCGTTTAAAGAAGAAGACTGGCAATCCGTAAACGTCGTCTTTGTGTAACGACCATTATTACTAACGATTGAGATTCATATAAATCTACTTTTTTTTTTGGTTCCTATCCGAGGATTAAGCCTGAGCTGTGACTTATACCGGTAATTATACTTTAATTTAAACTAACTTAGGTTATTTTATTTAATTACGAACTTTAAATCTTCCTTTGTCATTTTTTTTCTCTTTCTCTTTGTTTTTTTTTAATTATTTTCTTTACCCCGAGAGACACGTTCTTATTTGTGACATATTTTTACTTCCTCCGTATGTTGTATATTTTGATCATCCGTAAACTCGTGGCTTTTCATAAATATTCTTTTTTTTTTCTTTTTTACAGATATATATTAAATATTATATTTTGAGCGATAGATATTATACTACAGTAAGGGTCTTTGCGTGTCTCGTAGGGAACTCAGGGAATTAAGCACGCGAACTGTAACACGGATGAAAATGTTTATGGTGTTAGGGTATGCTTTAGACGACGAGTGAAAGTATACCGCATCTTTCTCGCTTTACTCTATACTAAGTTAGGAACTAGTTGATATGACAGGAAACGAGAAAATGTTATATTTTGGTCATAGGTCCAACGTAGAAGCAAGATATGCGCTACTATATTAAAAGAGCTTTGGAAATGGTTATACGCCTCTAACGAGCATCAGAGCAGAGAGAGAAGGAGTTGTTAAAAGCACCTGAACGTGTGTAAAGCCAAAGGTTTCTTTGACGATACGACGATATCAATGTAAGTACGTTAATACACGTTTCATATAATAATGTATGTTAAATCAAAGCTCTATAACAGTGTATATCTATATGTCAGATCTTTATCTAACAATTCTTATTAATACAAAAACAATATCTCTTTCTCTCCATGTGTGCTTGGTTTATTTAATATAACATAATATATAATAAACAACAAAATTGTATACTCTCAAGAAAAAAAGAAAATTGTAATATATAATAAAAAGGAGTACGCGGATAATGATATAGAAAAAAAACAAACAAAAAGAAAAATGATACTTTTAAAATTCAGTAGTTGCGAGACAAAGAATACGGATTTAATTTAGAAAGGATACGCCCGAGACGTCCATTAATAAAAACGTTCGCCAAGGGCAAAGGATCGCTAAGGTTTTTCAACTTGTCCCTGGAGTAAGAGGAAAGAATCTTTGCGGCGTTTCTTCGGGTCATAACGAATAGGGAGTGTAATCTTGTAAACGTGCGTCGTACGTCAACGTGATCGTTTTGCATTTCGGCGTAGCTAGAAATGTCGCACGGATGAAGGAGCGGACGTCTAGTCGGATAAAAATCAAAAGCAAGTATGTTGCTCCTGGGAAATAAAGGACGAAGGAGAGAGAAAGAGAGAGAGAGAGAGAGAGTGTGTGTGTGTGTGTGTGTGTGTGTGTGTGTGTGTGAGAGAGTTACTTGCTTTGCTTCCGTTTCTGTGGTCCACCCCTTGCATGACTCCTTCATCTTGCGTTAGAGTGCACGTACGCATGAGAAAGTGTGAGAAAAAGGGACAGAGAAATTGAAAGAGAGAGAGAGAGAGAGAAAGAGAGAGAGAGAGAGAGAAAGAGAGAGAGAGAGAGAGAAAGAGAGAGAGAGAGAGAAAGAGAGAGAGAGAAAAAGAAACGGACAGACAGACAGACAGAAATGACAGAAAAGAAAAAAAAAGTGTTGGATCGTCGTTGCTAGTTTGAAATTTCAAATTCATTTACGCGCAAGCCGCTGCGAGTTTTAATCCGCTTTAATTATGAAAAATCGTCAAGTGCCGATGGTTTTTCCTTCTACATTTTCCGTCCCCACCCCTATTTTTCTCTTTCCCTCTCCCTTTAGTACACCCCCCCCCACTCAACCCCTCAACACCGTTCCGTCGTCTGACTTTTCTCCAGACATTTTACTTTCTCTCTCTCTCTCTTTCTCTATCTATTTATCTCTTTCTTTCTTTCTTTCCCCTTTTTTATATATATAATCATCCCTTTTTAAAACATTTTTTTTCTCCGAACGTGTATCATCATCAGCTAGCTAGCTAGCTAGCTAGCTGCTGGTCCTTTTCGTCGACCGATTCATCGTTCCTCGTTTATATCGCTGTTTTATACGTAATTACGTTGATTACGTTGATATTTTACCGACATGAATATATTTCTCGTGCTTTATAAACTTTGTTAATTAGAATAAAAACATGGTGATGATGATGATGATGATGATGAAGATGATGATGATAATAATAAACGACTATAATGATATTCATATGATATTATCGAATATTTACTTGCAATCGATCACAAACATTATCTTTTCTTTTATCTCCAAGATTCTTATTATTTTATTAGGGGTTATTATTTTTTAATGCAACAACGTACGCAAGTATAAATTAGTTACAATTCATATATATGTAGGTACATTTGTAAGAAATAGCGTGCTTGGTTATATTTTACGAGTTCCGACCTACTTCATGTTTCAAGCGGTTTCTAATGAACTTTTTAATCTTCTCTCTGGATGAGAGAACAATTGCATCAGTTCACGTTGCATTATCATTTAGCAGCTATTTTTATTCAACAACGTTATATTCATATTGTATCTTCGTTGTTTCGCTTCCATTAAAACGGTAGGCCAATCGAACACGTGGTCGAATCGTTGATACATCAATTTTTCCAAAGCTTCTTCTTGCACTTCAAGAAATTCCTCAATTATGTGTTGTGTCTGTTATAAGAGTAATTTAATATTTTTCGATAGGTACAATTTATTTGTTGAATATAAATGATCTTTTTAATTATTCGTACGATTCAATTCTCTTTATAATTTCACGTGATTTTGAATTCACGTATCAATTTATTAAAATTATCTTGTTTTTAAATAGAAACAAAAAATAAACTTTATAAAATTGTCTCATCAGTTTATAACAGATTCATTTGATTTTTACCTTTTCTTGAACCAAAGATTCCTCGATGACCTTCCTCGTTGATATTTGATCTTTCAATGGTATTGGTTTGATATAAGGTAAGGATGTGTCCATTTGATCTAGAGTATGCTTATGATCAATTTCTTGTTCCGGAAATAGATAAGTTACGGTCTCTTGGAAAATCTGGTCGCGTTGTTGCAGAATCTCGCGAATTTGTCTTTCCTTCTTCTGGGCCTCTTGGCGTAATTTTAAAACTGGTGCTCGTTGCCTTTCAAGAACGTCTCTCCTGAGGCCTTTCTTTTCGAGAATAGTTATTTGCATACGTTTCATTTCCATCTCGTGCCAACGTTCTTTAGCTTCTTCTATAAATTGCCAAGGTTTCCTTATCTAAAATATTCCAATCGAGATATTATTTTAGTCGATCGAATATCAAAGTATCTATCTAACTAAAAGGAAATGATTATTCGAGAAGAAGAAAGATCAATAGTGACTAATAAACTCGATCATAATATTGATTTCAATCTTCTGTTTCTTTTAAAGAAACGCTCAATATAGATATATGTATATATCGTATACTTTTTTTTTCCTTCTCTTTTCCTCCTCAGCTTTTCTCAATATCTCGTCCATTTCTTCTCGAAGCTTTCTTTCCGTTTCTATACGTTTCTCCTCGGCTTCCCTTTCTTGTAATTTTTTTTTTTCATCGATCCTTTCAAAGTTCGTTTCGTTCCAAGCGTCTTGCCAATCTTTAAATTTAGCTATCTGCTCGGATAAAATAAATTGAACGTTTATATTAGCATTGTATCGAAATGGAAATCGATAATGAAAGATAAGTAGTTGAAGATATATATACTCTGTCGACTTGCTGATCGGCATAATTTTGCATCCACGTAATGTCGCTAACGTCGAACGTCAGTAATGTTGGGGGTGCGGTAAATATTCTTAATGTACCATTGAAGTCGCATATTCCGACACATTGAGGATCTAATGGTAACTCATGCGTATAAATACCCGTAATTATTCGACCGGACACGCTTTGCGTAATAATCGGTTCTTGTCCCTTAACGATGAAATCCCAAATTTCCATGGTACCGTCTATTCGTACCAAAACTAGAATCGTCGGTCGGAAGTTGCCCCAGGTGCAACCCGTGTAACTAGACAAAAAGTAAACTTTAGATTTCGGAGTGTAAGTTATGCGAAGTTGTTTCATAGTGCGTGGGAATAGGAGTGGGGTGAAACTTTAGTTTTATATCATAAACATAACGTCGCTCGGAATTCTCGTATTTCGCTTGTGTAACAAGAGCTAACCATCGCTTCGGGCGATGAAGGGATCTTGGACCGAACGTTGTGTATGATACTACACATATATGTAGCTACGTTGAAAGGTAGGGAAGGGAAGGGAAGGGAAGGGAAAGGAAGGGAAGGGAAGGGAAGGGAAGGGGTTGTATCGAAAATAGCTTTCATTAACGAAGCGGCGCGTTGGTGCTCGTGTTATAACCGTAAGTTATGGCTGTATTGTCATGCAGATCATACCGAAAGTTCGGTTTCTCCACTAGCGAAAACTACATACAAGCGATGCATCCCAAAACGAGCTAGGTGCTTGCGTAGCAATACGAAACGCTACCGCGGCAATTACATGCTGTACATTGCAGCAATTTATCGTACGAGATACTCGTTATTTTTTTTATTTTACTACGGATGAAAACGCCAGCCCATTATCGTACGCATGTATGTTTTATATACGTTTATACGATATATTATATTCCTATTGTCGCACATCTCGATATTATTATATCGACGTTTCTCCTCCTAGACAAGTAATTCGTCTCTAATCGATCAATATGACCTACATCTTCTTTCCACCTATCGTAATATACATACGTGTCTATATATTGAGTCAAGCTAACCCATCCATGCGGTAATGAATGTGATAACGAACGCGATAACGAACAAGAATGCAGGAGAGGTTTGAGTGAGTAGATGAAGTAAAAAAAAAGCGACGACATATTGGATTTTTTCCTCGCTTACCTCAGGTTCGATTTTTTCCAAATAATCGGCTCTACATAGTCCTCCCGCCAAATAGCAAAAATGTGTCCGCCCACGGTGGCAACTATTTTTTCATGATACTTCGATCTCACCATATGCGTAACCGGTCCATCATGTATACGCTTCATCCACTTCCATTTACATTCTTCGCGGTTAGATGTCAATTTTGTATCGAATTCGAAACCCTCCCAAGTAACAAGTCCGACATATCCTACGGATTTCGATATTACGTCTTTCGATATTGTTAATATAATATTATCCTAATGAAATACGATAATAATTGATATACCTTCGATCGTGCCAATAAAAATTTCTGGTTTCATAATGTAATCGGATTTTTCTTGTATCAGTTTATAATATCGTCTCGCGGTAATATCCGTCTTGATAATTGGAAACGGTTCGTCGAGTTGTTTTTTTAAATTAGGATAATACATGGTAAAAGTGCTCAACACTGTACGTCGATTCTCGTTCGGATAATGAATGAATAGCACGTAATACGGTTTCCAAATACGATTGAGCATTTCAAAAGGTGAAGTTGATTCTAGCAGTGCGTGAGGTAGGGTACCTTGTTTTTGTTTCTCTTTCAACAGAGTTTCCTTCTTCGTTACGTCTTCCCTTCGAACAGATTGCGTTTTAATTAGTGCCGTGTATGGAGAAGAGGTTAGGATTCAATTGGTAGTAGATAAAGGAATTCGATATGCGAGTAGAGGAACGATCGATGATTAGAAAGGAGAACCTATCCATCAATTTTCGACTGTACGCAATGTTGGTGAGAGCGCATGAGAATGTTGGATGGTACGGAGAGAGTTGGTAGGGCCATTAGAGTTCGCCAGACTCGAGGAGTTTCTAGAAGAGGGATGAGAAGCGAAGATGGAAAGTGGTGGGTGATCGCGTAGAATGGCCGACTAGGATCGGAGGACCCCAGAGGATGCAGACGTTTCTCTTGGCCGTTTAGCTCGCGACAAGTTTCTCAGGGGGCGTGGACGAACATTCAAAGTCACTAACTTCGGCTCCCGGCAGACGGTTGGTGTAATTCTCGCTGGTGGTTATCAATTGGCAGCTCAGGTCGTAGCTCACGTTATCCAACGACGAGTTGACCCTGCGGCTCTTTAATGAGTTCGCATGGCGCTGACGTAGTCAGTCGGAAGGATGAAAGACTTTAAACGAGCTAGGAAGATGAACGTTAGAGTAGAATGGTACACACAGCTTTAATCGAAGGAAGTTTCGTTCTGTTACTAAGAGAACGAGAAGGATAACAACTACCAGAAGGTATAGAATTCATTTATCGAAAATCAAGATTACATTCTAACCGTTTCTAAAGAAAATTGTGTGCGCTTATATTTTACTTGTCTTTTGTCTCGATATGTGCTAACAGTGATAATCCGAAAGACATAAACGTTCTGTGAACTAACTTGAGATCCCAAAAGGCAATAGTACCGTCCATACTACTGGTAACGAATTGCCAAGGGAGATCCTCGAGCGTCGTACTGGCAGCTAGAGATTGGATTCTACCGTTCTTCTCGACCTTGTGGTAAGGTGGTATCCAAGCTATTTGGGTTATGGTACCCTTCTGGCTGTGTTGCAACGAGGACATCGCCACCGGTCTTATGACCGAGGATCCAACGGTTTCTCGCATCCACCTCATCAGACCCCGCATAGCAATTCTATATCTCACTTGGGCGGAAGTGTGCACTATTACCGCCTCTACGTTTTCGATTCTACCCGGTATAGACCAAATGGCGATCTGAACGATGCAACGGAAATACCATAAAGTGTTTGCTATTGGTATCTTCGCGTATGGCTCTCGTAACAAATAAATTCTCTTACCTCGATACCCGTCGGTTCAAACATAGTGCTTACCTGACCGTTAGCGCAACCACCAATGATGACGTTACTATTCAGAGGACAAATAGATATCGCTGTGATCTCCCTTGGGCATTCTAGGATTAGCTTCGGAGACAAACAATCATTGAACGACCATATTAATGCTACATTGTCACCTTTGGAATCCCTGAGGACCTATAAAATAATAAATGGACTTTGATCGTTTATATTCGTACAACTTTTCCCATAAGATTTTTCATTAATTTGGCCTATTTTAAAATGCATTGTATTTAAAATATGAACAATCACTAAACCCTTTTAGATCTATTCTTTGATAAAACTGTTAATATCATTATGTACCTCGTCGTATGTTCGTTGTCCTACAAAGTGTTCATCTTTGGAATGATGAGTATACGTCGCGCAAAGAATACCAGTCCATAAAGGATGCCAAGATAAATCATTAATAACTTTTTGTTTTGTTACTTTGCCGTCATAAAAACTTTGGTGTTCGTTGTACCCTACCGGTATCGGTGCTTTTGTATCTCTTTCATAATGCACCAGATTTGTATAATCATCCGCGTAAATATCCCAGGTCGCGTTCATTTGCACCTATTTTGTGATCAATACTTTTAATAGAAAAACAACAACAAAATAAAAAAGTAAAAAATACAAAATAAAATAAAAATAACACTTAAAGATAATTACGAAAAATAATTAATCTTGCTTGTTAAGTGTAGAGACCTGATCGCACATAATGTCAGTATTACGTCGTAGAAATCTCGTGAGATTGTCGGTATCTTCTTCCGTAAAGGCGGATATATCGATCGGTTCATACTCGTATCGGTATTGAAACCAGGAATTTGCGGGTATTGAAGGCGCGGTCTGAGCTTCGTTGTCTTTGGTGCTGGGCGTCACTTGCGTGGACCTGCTTATCGTGTTTCGTGACACGTTCTCGAATGTCTGCCGATATGGCAGCAAGTCGATGTATCCGTCCCTTTGATCGTCCGCACTCCTGTCTACCAGATTCATTGGCACGTTGAGCAAATTCGCCGTAGATACGACCTGTTTATCGTACGTTAATACAATCCACTTAACAACAATCTCTCTCTCTCTCTCTCTCTCTCTCTCTCTCACTCAACGATAATTTAAATCGAACATACGATGTGAGATGCATTATTAAATTTGAAAAAAAGGGAATCTATAAACCGGAGGAAGAAAACATATGCCTCTTATGTTGGAATCTACTATACTTGTACCTTGATCTCGAGTTTTGGCCTTTGATTCTTGACAACGTTCTCATCGACCTCCTTGCCGCTTCCCAAATCCTTCCACTTGGCTGGGTGCTTGTAAACGGCGCTCCTCACGTGAATCTCATGCTCCCGTCTCTGCATTTGAATTTGCTGCAATACGGCTTCCTTTGCCTCGGTGCTAAGGCAAATGTAAAATTGGCCCTCCTCAGTGACGGAAGGGGCGTAACCGATCAGCATTCTCTCCTCGGGATACTCAAGGATCTCGTTCTTCATCGGCAAGAACTCACTGCTCTCTGAGTGAAGATCTAGGTTGTCCTCAATGATCTCCTTCTTCACCCATACCCATGGATATTCCGTAGTTACGTTCTCATCGATTACGCAACCAAGACTTTTTTGAGTTAAAGAAGATAGATCGATTCTTGCTATACCGGCAGTACCCTAAATGTTAATTTCAAAGAACAATTCGATTCTAAATAAAGAAAGATACGTTTTGTTTCGTTTTCTATATATGTATATATTATATATAACCATAGAAACGGAATAACGGATTTCTCGTGATAATTGTGGCGATGGTGGTAATTCGGTTTCATCGTCTATTTTACCAAGTTTTAAGATATCATAAACGGAAGGACCACTGGCTTTGTAAGAATCTAACTCGTATATGGTTTTTCTTCGTTCCACAATAGGTTCTACGAGATCTATGTGGATTTTTTTTTTCGCTTCCTTTTCCCAATCCTTATCTAAATTTCGTAAAAACGATGTGAATGAGAGACGACGGTAAAAAAAAAATAAGATTATTAAAAAAAATATCAAATATCTCTACCTTCTTCCTTAATTTCTTCCTCTATATCTTGTTCTTCTTCTTCTGCTTCCTCTGTATCCTCTTCCATTTTTCGCTCGTCATTATCTGTATTTTCGTCGTAAAAAAATTCATCACCGTAATCGTAATCACCATCGGTTTCTTTTTCACTGAACTTTTTATTGTTTTCCATAATAACGTTTTATAAGATTTTAATCGACGAAATAGTCACTGAATATTTCGTCAAATAAAATAAACAAAAGACGAATTGCGAGTATTATTTATCGAGATTCTTTCGGTAAAAATGGAAGTTTTTGAAAATACAGTATCTCTTGCCGAAAAGGTTATAGAAACGCATGGACACGCGTTGAAGATGAAGAGATAGTGGTTATGGAGGGTAGGTGAGAGGTTAACGGGGTAAAGGGGAGTATCGTTAAGGACTCCCGTTGCGAAATAATCCTGAAAACTAATTTCACCGTAAGCGTAGTTGCCAGAGACGATGTGTAGCAATGATACTCCGTTGGTCGTGTCGCTCTTCTGTTAGGAACTCGAGCGTTAGAGGAAAAGGGTTATATGTATGAACTCGGAGATATGAGATATATCTATATATATATGTGTGTGTGTGTATATATGCGAAGATGAGGAGGTAAAAGGGCGGAAAGAGTGGAAAGAAGGAAGTACAGCAAGCAACGGGAAGTGAATAAATCTGGTCGAGGTAATTTCGGTCTTGCTTCATCTGACCTCTACTTTTTTTTGTCGTTTTAACCCTTTCTCATCAAAGAATTTCTACTCTTTTTTTCGATCCTTATCGCTCTTCTAATTCTCGTCAATGAAACCTTTTATCGTTTTTACTCTTTACCATCCAAAGTTTTATCATCTTGATCTGTTTTCTTTCCTACATTGCAAATATTTTTCGATGTAATAATAATTGTGGGAATTTGAAGGGCTATAGAAAAGTAGCGTATTATATTTTACTATATCATATTTTGATATTCTACTTATCTCTCTCTCTCTCTCTATCGAGTTTCTAGGAACGAAGAAAAGGGAGAATACGAGTGGTAGATATAAGTTATGGAAAAGACTGCTTCGTTCACGTACATTTCGGAAAAGATATTTTCAACCTTCGTATCTCCGGGCGTATTCCATTCGTTTATTCGCACGAATGCCGGATCGCGATCCCACGGTAAAATACATCATGAGATACGAATTGGAGTTATATATTCGAGCGGGAGACGAAAAACTTTTTATTGTGTTAGTCAGTATAGCCGGAGATGTAAAATACCGCGTTAAACTTTCCACTGGAACTTTTTTATGAGTATTATGAAAGAACGACTAATTTAGTTTCTCTGCTGTGTCTATCGTTAACGCGTTGCGAATAACTTGGAATATTTTATTCCAAACCCTTCCCTTCACCTTCCCCACTCTCCCTTACCCCGTGTACTTGATTCAATTTGTCGCTTTGCGATCAGTTTTGAGATCGTCATAGGTATAGTGTGTAAAGCACAATATATATATACTTATATACATTTCAATTCGATTATTTTTTCGTTCTTCGAGCCAACCGTGTAAAGCTGACATTGTTCAAAGATTTATTCGCTCGAATAGATCGTACTCGTCACTGATGCAAAATAATACGAAGTAAATCGTACGGCAATTTTAGAACATTATCTCGAATACTTGTACTTTTTATCCGAAAAATAAAAGAGAATGAGAAAGAGAGAGAGAGAGAGAGAAAAAAAAAATATGTAACTTCATCGGAGAGCCGGATTTCCACTAGGTGGTTCAGGAAATTTAGGAGTTTCTCTTGGATCGTACTTATCCAGGTAAAAGCTAAGGTCTATGGAAAGCCTCTCTCTCTCTCTCTCTCTCTCTCTCTCTCTCTTTCTCTTCTCTGTTGGTTGTTCTCCGAGTTGAGATATAAAGATACGAACTTTGTTATTGTTTCTGCGCTAATATCGGTGAAACGCCACAATCAGTTTGCCAACTTTCCTCCAATTTACCTTTCTAACTGATAGTTTGGCCAGAGAGGTGGGTGGGTTGAAGGGCGGAGGGTGGAGGGTGATGGTGGCAAAGTTTTCTATACATTTACCTACTTCTATACAGATTAATGGGCTTTCTTCTCGGAAAAGAGAGAGACGAATTAAAGCTAACTAAATTGTAACCAGTTTTGGACGGGGAAGGTAAAAAATAAAATGTTCTTTCATGTTTTAATTCGAGAAATCGTTGAGAACCTTTCTCTCTCTTTCTCTCTCTCTTCCACGAAAATTTGATAGGCATGGATAAGGGAGTTGGGGTACGGATGGATATAATATACAGAAGCGTTGTACGTACGCGAGCTTGCAAGCTCGAATACGATGGTTCGCGGCTGGTACCACGTTTGCAGCATATCGGGTTAACGAGAGAGCGTGCACGTGGGGTTAGTCGTGATTACAGGCTGGTAGGTCCTGCAGAGATGGACGAACGGTTGGTTAATTTTCAATTAACTAAGCGCCTGTGCCTGCCTGCCTGCCTGCCTGCTGGAGGACGACGCTGGGATTATACGACGATGACGACGACGACTACGACGACGACAGCGATCGGCACGTCGTATCGCCAGGTGACTACTGATCCGACTACATACGCGTCTACTAACTACTCTTGCACATATACTCGTTCTGCTTCTCGCTGATCAGCTAGCTAGCTGATTGGACACAGCCACGCGTGGCATGCTCAATTAAATCATCGCGGTATCCCACGGGTGTATCATGTGGCACTTTACCTTCTTCATTTTACTCGCTATATTATTATATTTTCTCTATAATTTGTCTTTTATCGATCATAATCAAAAAGTGTTCCACCTATTAGGGTTAAATCAAAAACTCAAAGTGCATTTTTAATTTAACATTTCACTTGCGTATAAAGTAATTTTATTGACTTCAAAAAAAGGAAATAAAACATTGCACTGTCTGAAACAAGACAATAAACGCACGTACTTTTGGTTCAATCCTAATATTAAATCACGAGTCAATATTAAATCTCTCTCGATTAAAGATTATCATTGTAATTATAATACTTGTATAATATTATACAAATGACAAACACAGATACCGATTTTCTGTATTATTTTCTTTTATTCTGTCTATTCTATGTGATCTGATTGCAGCTATCGAAGACACGTTAGGTTCAACGTTGAGAATCCTTCTTGAATTGTTCGATAATCAGTACGCTTTTATTCCTCTATCTTCCACCCTTACTATTTTCTTCTTCTATAGAACTCAATCATCCCTGACTTTCTCATTGTTTCCCCCTCTTTCATTTTTTTTTCTTCCCCTCCCTTCCTTTCTATATCTCACTCTGATTTTCGAGATCTTTATTCGTTCGACTATTCATCGGATATAGAATGTTATATATATATATATATA